GTTAGATAAAGCTTTAATCCAAATCAATGCATTTATTTCAGACGTAAATACTAGTTGATTAATTTAAGTACACTTCTGTTTTGAACACAAGCACATTTCAGTACATTGAAATTATTCGGTCACTACGGACCGAATCGTTAAAGAGGCGTACCATCGGTCAGTTAGAGTGTGCCCAACAGAATTTGAATAACAATAAGCGGATGGCTTATGAAAAGATCGAAACAGATATTTGGACAAGAATGCGAAAGCTGGATGATGACATGAAAAGATGCACGAGGGAATATGTAAATTTTTGTCGAGGTATTGTTTTTCCCCATTTCACTGTTTTCTTAATAATGTGTCCATGGTATTACCTTTTTTGTTCCAGAAGCAGATATATCATTCTGAAAGATTCTATTAACAAGAACTGTCTTTGCAACCCTTCTAAAGTAAAGCTGAAACATTATCTCTTTGCATTCTATGAATAACAACGGTTAAAGAATGTACGAATGTGGAGGCAAGAGGGAAGAGATATAGGTCTTCAATCAACATCATGTCCATCAAAAAATTATACTGCGATATTTTTTACTCTTTCTGCATATATTTTAATCATTTCAGAATTTGAACGAAGTAGGGAACGAGAACGGAGGAAACGAAAGCGTTTTCCAGTGGCCAATGTAATTGAGCGGTTATTGGGTGATGCGGTGTGCTCGTTGATCGATCCATATAATGAAAATGTTGACGAGGATCTGTATGTTTGCGAACAAGCTTTAAAAGCTGTAAATGGACGAGAGAACTAGCAGTACTTTTATCTACATTTTCTACGCTGTGTAAAGTTTGTATTTCTCATCAACATTTCTGTACTTTAAAGTTTTGTGAGATTTTACATGTTTTACGAGCGAGGCTTGAATTTTTTTCCAATATGCAAAAGTACGACAAAATTAGCATGGATGCAAGGTAAAAGATAAGAAATGTGATCTTCAAGTATTGAAGAAAAATCGATTTTTGCTTCACAGCACTTTCTAATCGTTATCTGGTGTTGTTATCACTTTTTGCCCATATATTAATGTCCGTCTCTAATTTAGGCAATAGAAAGAAGTCTTGAACATGTGCTAGAAATAAATCAATTAAGAAGATATGCTCAATTAAAAGGAAAAAATGAATTTCAATGAGAAAGGGTCTATTTCGCTTCATCGAAATGATAGCTTTTCGACATTTTGTAACACATGGAAACTATTCAGCGACTCAAGTTAGCAAAATTATGAATTAATTTTTCATACTCATGGAATGTTAATTTGTTGCCGCTCTTTTCTTTAATGCTGATTAATGTTGCAGGTTATTACAATGATTAGAAGTCGCATTTTCTAATAAATTGGGCGTATTGAGACAGTGAACTTAGCATGCGAGTTTGAGATTGGATCCTGTTTCGCCTGGACATATTGCTTATTCCTCATTCCAAAGATCATATCACTTATTGAAATGTACTTGGCATTTGCTCAGGATCATAAGATTACCGAATTAATTATTAATGTTAAGAAATTATCTTTTTTGTTCTAGTTAACTAGGGTTAAACCCATACTATTGCATCATTTCGGTTTCTTTAATTTGTCCGATTCATATTGATTATGCTTCCACTCTTATCTGCATATTCTTGTTACGCCAAGCGAAAGATTATTTGGCAGTGATTAATAATTGTTCAACCATCAAGGGACGTGGAGATATGATTAGTGTAAAAAATATACCGATTGATTTCATCGGGTATTCCGAAAAAATAGAGAAAGCCAGTTTTTCGTCAAATAGTGTAATTTTTCGAGAAGCAGTATACATTATTGAAAGTTTATCTACGAACTCTTCCATGTTTTGCAATGCTTTACCAGTTTTTATTTTGGATTTTCTTTTGGACTGGCTGCTGCAATGAAATGAATTTCATTTACCAAGCAACTGTCGCATGAAATATTGCCTTGTGTGAGTATATCAAATTGTTTTTAGCAGAAACTACAAATTGTTGTCTTTAACTCTTACTATGTTTGCATATTTTTTCATGTTTATTACTTATAAAGATAGAAGATGAACTCATTGCATACTGTTTATCTCTGAAGTTTTCACATCCTCATTTTGTTTAGATGTTTAAGAAGTGCAGCAACTGATTGTCTCTAATAGCGTTTGTACATCCCACTCGGCATATTCGCTTGAAGCTAAAGTTGTTTAAAAAATAATAATCTAACTTGTATGGAATTGACCAAGTTAACTAGCTTAATTCCATATATACTAGATCATCCAATCCATCACGTCTTACCTCGACGATACATTATTGCACACTGTTTTTTTAGGCACCATGGAGAGAATTATTTCTTTTTTATTTGATATGTGATTTTACATGGTATGTATCAGAGAATTTTTTCGTCTTATAAATAAAGTAAAAGCATTTCATGAATCGATGATGTCCGTTTACCTATTCATTCCATATCAGTATATATCAGAAGCAAAGTGTGGAAGCAGCTTATCTCTCTTTTTTCTTTTGATGAGAGAAAAAATTTATTAGTTGGGTGAAGAAAGCAATTTTTCTTGTTAATTTCGATTTGTGTTCTTGCCAGAGTAGCCGTTACTGTTTTCATTGGACCTAGCAGGTGAAGCAGTATAATTTTGTGGGGTGTGGGGTTGTGCTTTCTGGAGCGGTAATATAAGTGCTCGTGGGGTGGTGTCGTGCTGGTTACACTACGGTAGTTATACTACGCATTTAACATTAAGTCTACAGCGATTCAAAACATTTCTACTTAGAAATGACATTTATAGAAGTTAGATTTTCAGGATGAGTGGGAAAGATGAGGTGCAGTCTAACGAGCTCCAAAGGTTGATTTCTGATGGTATGACTCTTGTTTGTGCAGAAAATAATGCAAACTCACCGTCATCACAACCTGAACCTCTAGCAGTAGTTGATATTACGGATGACTTTTTTATGGAATGTAAAAGTGAGTTTCAGTTTTTGCTTATTTTCTTGGGAAGATTTAATACTTTTAAATTTTATCGAGAAAAAAATCAGATTGGAAGAGTAGAAGAAGGGAGGAAAAGTATTGATTGAAGTATTCAAAGTCAGTTTAAAGGAGAAGGAAGAAAGTAAAGAGGGAGTTCAGTTTGCCGCCCACATGTGGATTATTCATTTGTTGAGCAAACATATTTATGATGTAAATAATGCAACGTATCAGTAGAATGTGTATCATTACTAATTATTTTACATAAATTTTTAGAATTAAATGATGGAGAACTGGTAATGGCCGATGATTTTCAATTATCAGAGGCAATGAGTGCAATAGGTTGGTTTCTTATTTGCATGTTTTGATTTGATCATACTCGGTATCACCATTTGACAGCTAGGTTGTGAAGAGCGTTGCAAAACTTTTTGTTAAATTCCAAAGCAGTTCTTGATTATTTGAAACGGTAATGTGATGGTTCGAAAATTTCCATTCGCAAAGTTTAATTTTTTCATTTTGCTTTGAAATTATTAAGATTGTTAGGAATCCATACTTTCTGGATTCATTGTGGATTTTGGTTGATTTTTTTGCAAAGGATTCACAGCATTTAAAAGGAAACGTTATAGAACTTATGGATCCAAAGATGGATATTGGGATGAAACCTTTTGATCCGTCGATAGCTTTTGAAAGTTTAATTGCAACTGGTCGCCTGAACATCACCAATATGGATGAACGGGAAATGATAGCAACAATGGATGCTATGTTAGCTTCACTCATTTCGTGGCTTGAGGGAAATTCCATTGCACAAACGGTGAGCATTAAAGTCTTTCGGTAAGAAATACATTTCCACGAAATTTTTTATGTTTCTTTTTTCTTTTTTACATGAAAACATAGCTCTACATCGTTACTATGTTGCTAGAATTTATTTAAGAAAACACATGGATGTCAAGTGTTAATTCAAGCTTTATGTACTTTTATTTTATTACTTAAATTTATCTTCATGGCAATTATATCGTGAGAAGACTCCGCCATTATTTCCCATTTCTAAAATATTATATTCCATTGTAGTGATCGTGTTTTGCAGTTGCTAACATGCGTTTTCTTAAATCACATGGATTCAGTAACCGATTCTGTGTTATCAGCTTTTTCATATGGTGTCTTGGAGCTTACAACAGTTTTTCGTCATATTATACAAATGGCGTCTGTTTATGAAGAAGTACATATTCCCTACTTTATTTGAAATAGTTACTGTTGCGTTTTCTTCAGGGTCGTTAAAAAAAAATACTTTTGATGGGGAGCAAAAAGATGATATTCTCTTGAGTTATTGTAGTAATTTTCAGGATCCATACATAAAGATAGTTTCACCAGAACCTTACAAGCTGAAGGTAGTACAACAGCCTTTCATTTCTAGCAAAGCTAAGTCTGTTCGATGCGAGTACTTAAAGTTAACGTTGTTGATAATTAGAAATTTCAACTCTAGGTATCATGCTACCCCTGCAATGGATGTAATGACTTTCTAAGAACCTACTATTCACTTGTTGACTTTTTTCTTCTGCTTCTTATCAGAAAACCTTTATTATTTGTTATTCTGGTTGCTGTCCTGTGTCAAGGAAAAGACTTTGCAGTGATGAACATATGGTGCAGATCATTTTTAGTGTCAGCGGCGATAAAAATATATGGATTTTGTGAGACCTGAAACTAATTCATTTAGGAAGATTTTAATGGGTATGCAGCACAGTTTCATTTGTTGCCAATACCTAAGTTGACGAGCTCACTGAAAGCAGCTGAAATTGATTTGCAAAGAAGAATAAAGGTGGGCTTATTCCATTGTCCTATGACAATCATCGATTCATAAATTGTTAATTTGTTCAAGGAAACTTGGTTTTCAGTAAAGGAAAAAATTGTGAAACCAAAGTATAATCTATTTTTGGATATAAAAGATGTCGAAACTAGACGATTTCGGCAACAGATTTCAATTATTTATAGAAGTAAAAAGGTTGAAACCGGTGTATTTACATTAGCAGCTTGTAATTATGCCAAGACATTATTCATTATCGAAGGATTGCTTTTTGTTGCAGCAAAAACCAGCTAATCAGGAATTATTGGATGCCGTGTTATATCGCATACAGTTCATTCGCTTTATGCTTCTTTCACTTAGTTTATTGGTTCAGTCTCCTACGAATTCTTGTTCCCGATCAAATTCGTGTAATTGCTTCAGGTATGCCAAAGATTCTGGGAAATAGGTGTCTTTTACTCATTACTTGACATAGACATATAATTTATGAAAAAGACCTATTCTATTCTGTTTTTTCATCCACTAATTAGATTTCGTATGTTGAGCAATTCTTTCTTGTGGAAAAGTTATAATTTCCTTCTTCATTATCGATTCAATGAATTTGAGTTCTTATTTAATAAAAAGGTAGCAAGCTGTAGGCCCAATCTGGAGGAATGTGCTTTACATCTGAACATTGTTTGTTTATTATTGGACAAGATGGAATCAACTATGTCTTTGGGGTTACAACCACTGGAAAAGGATGATGGTATTTTATATATTGCTTCTATTTTTTGGTTTTAATTTTCCATTTGGAAATTTTTTCTGAAATTTTGATAATATTTTCTCAGATAAAGTTTGTTGTATTTCTGAATTCTACTGAAATATTCAGCTGTTCATTTTTTTTATACGGACACTACTTATTCAAATTTACACTGCTTATTCAAATTTCTGAAAACTGCTTTTTTGAACAGTTACGTGATACCAACTTTCATTTCGCTTAATTCATTCGCTTATCAGACTTTCGATATTTTTGGCAACGAGTTATTGCAAATTTCACTTATTTTGACGTTTTTATTTCTCTAGAAGATTATGCTTGGTTACCAGCATTCGAGCCCGACATAAATCGAAGGCAGTTACCGCCAACATTTCCACGTATTACAAAGATGATAAATCGAGCGGAAACTATGCGATATTTAAAAAAGCTTTGTTCGAAAATTTCATCCATCACAACCGAATTGCCTGCAAAAGTTTCCAATATTGAAGATATCATTGTAATTTTTTTATTTGTTGTGAGAATAAGAGTTACCAAAGAGAGTATAATTTGTTAGAGTTTTTCAACTTTATTAAAAACTGTATGATCTTGAATATTGTTCCTATTCCTTTGATTTACTTCCAAAAATTCCTATTCGCCTTTCTCTGCTCTCATTTTAAACTGAGATTAGGAACAGTGAAATAAGCTTTATCATTGTGCTAAATAGTACATAAAAATTTGTTTAATCATGTTCTACGATTATAAAACTATGTCAGATTAGAAACTAGAGAATTATATATATGATTGGTTTAAAATTTTGTGACCTATCAATTTTTCAGGATTATTTGCGAACCTTTAGTTTAGCAGACAGTTGTGTTTTAACCCGTTCGCTACTGCAGATGGTCCTGTTTCCTAGTGATGACAATATTTTGGGACGTGTGCAGCTCTCCACTGTTATCGTTGATTCAATTCGCATGTTTGCTGCACCACCAGTGCTTGATTCAGTGTAACTTAATTCTTGCTCTTTTGAAATACCAGTGTTCTTATTCTATTTTCGATAAATTTCGAAACAATTCTGCAAAATTTTTTTGGGTAGATCTGTTTTTTGTGCATAAAAACCAGAGGTTTTTCTATTTTTTTACATAGTGTGAAATTCAAAGAAGTTTTCTGTGCTTATCATTAGGTAAGCATTGTTATTGCAACACTTGTTGGCTTGAGTAGTCTTGAATTGTTGCAGGAGTCAAGCGTTTAGCGTAGAACAATGTCGTGAATGCTGGGAAGAATTTGTGAACGATTCAGTGAAAGTTTTCCTTGGTGTAATTCAAATGTTTGGACTGAATCCAGCTAGACAACGCGAAAAAATTGTTTGCTGTATTGAGGATTTTTCAACATTACAAGCTGAGGTTATTCTTACTTTGTAGAATGGCTTCCAAACCCATTTTGGTAATTTGGAGCTGTTGGAAAACTCGCAAGCCTAGTAGTTGACTAATGGGATCTAATAGTAGTGGGTGTTTTTATTTGATTCCTGAAGCTCAATTCAGCTTGATAAAGTGACCAGCAACAAACGCTATTGTCTATTTTCAGTCAGTGTCGAGGTGGGTCAAAGTATGGCTTGATACTTTGAAAGTATCAAGTCAAAAGTATCAACCGGTATTTTACATTTGTTCAAACTGTATATGCTTCATGGCATTGGAAAAGTTTTTTAAATAAAGCAGTTCACTAAGGAAGTTGAACGTATGTCAAGTCATATTATTTAAAATATGCCGTATATGTATGTTTTCTTAGGCTGAACGTGCGGAGAATGCATTTGATTTGTACTACTTTGGCCAGGAAGCAACGATAAATCTCTCGTTGACGTCTTTCGTGATGTTGCATACACTATCTCTTATAAAATATCATTTCTTTCTATCGTTTTACCTCGATCTCTTCGCCTCATTTGAGTACTCGTATGTTTATTGGTGAGTGTTGCTTCTAGTTTTTTCCCTCAATTATTGGTCTTTTTATAACTGAAATTTTTCTTGAAATAAATCCTGTAGAATTAGATTCAATCCAGCCGTCTGATTTCCTTCAGCTACAAATCCGTCTAATTTCCTTCAGCTACAAAAATAGCATGGATTTTCTTCTCAGATTTGCTGCGGGTAGGATGAATAACTTCTCGATTTTAAAATAAAAAATTCTGATGAAGAAATTTGTTGCTTTTTGCTAGTGTGCGAAGGATAATAGAATTAACTAGTACAAGAAGTTATTAAATCATTTCGCTGGTTTTAGTTTTTTGTATTACTTGCTGCATTTGTTCTTTATTTCTGAAAAAATTGACTTCTTTTACAGGTATTTAAGTGAAATTGTATTTAAATGGTTAGTGAATACATTAGATCGTTCTGTCACGCTCGTAGCTGCTGGAGAGAAAAGGAGTAAGCTTTTATGCACTTTTTGAGATATGTACATATATACATATATCTCTTTGAGTTATATATATATATGGAGAGAGGGAGAGAAATAGATAGATTTATTTATTTATTTATTTGTTTTATTTATTTATTCATTCATTCATATTCAAATCTATATAATGTACAATGTACCCATAGCTTTTACTGAGTAAAAAATACATTGTGATCCGGTAGAAGGATGACAGTCAAGGAAGAATTGTGATGTTTTATTTGAAATTCAAATTAAAAAATAATGTTAAACAAGTAAGTTTGCAGTGTCGAAAGTGCGGAAGAAAAGTGATCGCAAGAAACTGGCAAAATGTAAGAAAGAAATTGAAATGAAGAAGAAAGCTGTAGAAAAGCAGAGATTTTTATTATTCTATCGAGCACAAGCCAAAGTAGCCGAAGCATTCTTTATGGTTAGCTATTTCTGTGCATTGTCTGGTCTTTCAATGCTACATAATCGGTATATGTAACGTTTCCTTGTGCCTAAGTAAGACTTCGTGTCTTATTTCTACGTGTGTTTAATTTGGCATAGAATATGTGGTGGTACAAAAGGGATGAGAATCTGAACTGCACTTTTGTTGTGTGGATTAATCCATAATTGTTCCGATATGTAAGCAGAGGATGTGCGAATGTATTATAGGCAGCAGTTGCTTTGATAGCAGCAGGTAAGATTCGAATGCCTTTATCGAATACGGAACAATCTCGTTTCGAGCATCGCATGTCACCCTTTTCGTCGCTCAACTCTGTTACTTTTCGCATCGCTCTTTTTGTCGAATATGCTCAGTATATTCACATCTCAAGGTTACTTTTAGGTGTAATTTCCGATGGCATAAACATTTTTCAAAATTGATACTCCGTATAAGACTGAATAAAATAAAATAATCTGAGGATTAGGCTTTTATGCAGGGAAAATCAGAGTTCGGAAATACGGATAAACGAACTAAGGATAAACACTTTATAGAACAATGAATTTTACCTCACTTTCAGTAATCTTTTCTTTAAGAAATTTATCGTATGCTTTCTGATTTACCCTTAGATTTATGAAATTTTTAAAGACAGGGAAAGAAAATTCCTCTCATCATTTCAATTAGAGAATGAGCTAGCATTTGATAAGTTTTTGAACATTGGTTTCTGGAGCGATTTGAAATAATAATTCCTTGTTTTTAGTGTTGAGTTGTAGTTTTAACTGAACTTCAGGGTAGAATCGTTGCGAGCGCTTGGTGGAGCTAAATGCTTCTCAATTGCAGCGGATGCGTTTGATTGGGCTCGAGGTGAGTTGGAAAGTTTGAGTGGTAATGATGAGATCGCTCAGGAAGCTGCTGCTATTGCCCGAATATGTAAAAATAATGCTGTTGTTTCGCGAATAATCTCTTCAGGCAGTAAAAATGAGGTAAATTTAGTGATCTATTAGTGACTATCATGTAATATATTAAATTCAATTATTTAAATCGTGACTAAGATAAATAAGAGCAGGAAAAAGGGAATCTTTTACTTTGCTTTATTATAATTTTTGTTTCGGATTCAAGATCTTGACCGATAACTTTAAAAGTATCATAACGTTTTCAATGGAAGAGGCACTTACTTTGATCTTTTGGCTTGTTCTCTAACTTGTTAATTTCAAGGCATTCAATTAAGTTGAAGCAATTCAATTCTTACGAAATATGGATTTAGCAGTGAAGATGCTCTTTATTCCTTACAATCGTATTTCATCGTTTTTTCAGTCTCAGATCGGTTTCGTATTCAATGGTGACTCATCATACATGTATCCTTTGCTCAAAATTACTTGATCAAATGCAGCAGCGATGGATTTTTCTCCCTTTTCATTTTTTTGCGTTAATTTAATGTTGCTGGAATTAATATTTTGATATTCTTCTGCAACATATTAGTGTTCATCAAATCTGATGAATATTCTCTTGTATAATTTGTTTTGTGCCACTTTTTATGAAAATCCAATGCTTAAGTGTTGATTTTCCTTTTTCCATGGAACTTTTCACTCAATTCGTGTGAAGTGAAAATAGAATGTTGTATTCAGATGGTTCACATCAGACTTAACTTTGAAATTTACTCTCGACAACAAAGATGTTTATTGCGACTGATTCCTTGATAGTAATGTATTTGTGCGCCGAATATGAATACGTAAGCATTTTCCATTTGATTTATTAATAATTGGAATTTGAAATTCAGGATGAATTTTGCAGGTTTCGATATGTTTTTCACATTTATAAAGGCTTCCTATGCTTGTTCGGTGGTACTGATATGAAAATATGCTACAGTATCGCATCGTAAAATGATGTTCAACATATCAGATAATATTGTATTTTGTAGAAATTGTTTTTGGAGTTTATTTCATAGGAATTTGGTTTTCATTTCTGGTAAAGCTTCCTTGGTAAACGGGTGCAAATACGCTACTTGTACATTTCTATCTGGAAAGCTTTTTTAGCTGAATTTTTTCAAATGAAGCTACGTAATAAGCTGAAATTAAGTCTTCACTCTTCACTGCTAGCTATTACTGCATTTCCGTTATATTTTGTTTTCAACTTTGTTTATTTGCTCATTTATATTAGGATATTTTTGAGTTGAACTGTTTAAGGTGTCTTATCGAGTAGTTCATAGAATTTTTAAACTATGATTTTCAATTGTTTGAAATGGTAATATTTCTAGTTTTTTGCTTTGAATATTTTAATTTGAATATGGGTGGAATGGGCTGGAATTTGTCACTTCTGATTCTTCGCTGTCGTTGATTCAGAAGTGATATTTGATTCGCGTGGGAGGGAAGCAGATTTGTCGATTGTGATGGCGATTGGTGTTAGAAGGTGTTAAAGGTTGATGCAAAATCGGTATGATAGTATTTACCTGTTACTCTGTCCTTTCTGTGCAATAGTTTTCGTTTAGAGGTTACTTACACATGATGTTAAAATAAAAGTATTTTACACACTGATTTTATTAGTAGTAACCAGCATAGTGTTCGTCATCATCATTGCTGAATTACTGGATCGTTGAAAGAATCAAGAATCATCAAAATTACCTGTCGTTTTGTTGTTGATTCTGAGAAGGAAGGATGGGGAGTGTATTAATAGTCGATTGTTCTGAAATTCTTTGAAACTGTATTGGAATATGTTTTCGAATGAGATTCTCAAGTATTCATTTAGGACTTTTGAGTAATTAGATTATAGCAATCTATGTGGGTGTACGAAAAGGCAGATTTTGTCTACGTGATTAAGTCAAGGCAGTTTTTCAAAAAATCCTCCGAAACAGGTCGTTGTCTTACACGATAGTTTCCAATAGAGTCGTCTTATGTGGATTTTCTTCGAAGTTAACTTCCCAGTAGTGCTTAAGACAAACATAGAATCACGCTCACTGATTGAATCTTCGAGTAGACACTATTGGTGCTATGTCCAAATCTGTATTTCTTCGACGATTTGGTGTGACATTCCGGCATTGTTTACGACCGCATATATCAGTGGTGAAAGAACCGGATATTGATTCGCTTCAAAAGGCTACTGTTCATCCGTTTGTTCTTCTGTAAGTTTCTATTGCATCAGTTAGTGCATAGACATTTTTCCAGCTAAAAAGATAAAAAGATTTCGCAAGTTCGTTTTCCAATGTATATTTATTATAGCTTACAAATTACGCTTGCAAATTTCTTTTTAAAAGACTCATTTAATGCAAGCCTGACAACATCACAAACCGTATTTTTGGGACATAATAAATTGTATTTTTTTCTGCTAAAGCGTCGTGTTTTAATATTACAGAACAACGTAAGCTGGATTTTGAACATCAGCCAAAACTTGAGCATTATTTAGAGCTATATTGATGCACTTTACAGTTCTTCAGACATATATTTCTACTCCAGGGACTATGTGGATGATACATTGAAGGAGAGCGATTACTTCGGTTTCAAGAAGATGATTAAAATAGACGATTTGTTTCATGCACGTGCACACTATGGCCACAAGGTAAGTTAATAACATTTCAAATGAAAAGATTACGTCATAATGAAAAGAGATTACGTCTTCTCGTGTAATAAAAAAGGTTAGGGAAGAAATTATGGAAAAATGGGAGACCAGGTTAAGAACCTTCTTGCTAAACTTCATTGAGGGAAGATTCTTTGATAACGTTATACTGAACGCTGTTTTTACAGGTCGGAACAGTGAACGAAAGAATGAAATGGTCATTATTTGGCGAGCGTTTAGGCGTTTGCATTTTTGATTTACAGAAAACGCGTGAATGCTTGATTACGGCATTAAATTTTGTCGCTCATATGGCAATGCGTGGTGGAATGTTCTTATTCATTACGACGGGAAGGTGAAGAAATTAGAACTCCGAAGCGATTCTGGTGTGCAAATCGATCGTCTGACTTTGGTATAGGGACGAGTGACTAATCAAACTATCTAGTAGCTAGTTCCCTTTGAAGTTTTCCTCAGAATAGCTGTAGTACGTAATAAAGCAGTCATATTCGACAAAGCAAATGAACAGAAAGGAATTGTGGGACGAAACGTCGTCAACTCAAACTGTCAGTGAGTATGACGTCCCGCTTGCTTAAACGAAGCGTAGACATTGAATGTGTGCTCCAAGTAGATCACTTATGATAAGGAAAACTGGCGCTGTGGGATGAACCAAATACTGAGTATAAGTCTCCGCTCAGGCCATCCATTTTTAGGGCTGATTTAAAATCAATTGGTCAAGGAAGCGTAAGGTTTCATGCTGCGCTGGATGATCCAGTTTAGAACTATTTCTGAAATCAACTACATGTAAGTGTAATATTTGTTTCTCCAGAAATAATATGTTAATGGTCGAGCGAAAAGCTCTAGAAATAGACGAGTTTGCGCACGTACGTGGTTGGAAAGAAGATACCTTACTTAATGCGAAAGCATTATTTGGTGCACCGATACGTCTACCCGACACGATCATATTCCTTTCGACGCTAACATCGGTTTGTTTTCTTCCATTTTGATACTGTTTTTCTCTTTTTGTTCTGTGTTCGCTGTTCTTCTCTAATTTCATGTTGATGCTGTATGACATGTCGAGAGGAATACGAAAAGATATTGGAAACCCAATCTAATTTTTAAAACTTGGACTATATTTTAAATGATCCCACAAATAAAATGTCAAATACTTTACGAGAATAACCACTTTTTTCTCCAATCTCTCAATCTTACACGGCGAAGAATTTCATCGCATGATGTTTCTACAGTTTTTTTTTGAACTCGAAAGAAAACGTCGTAGAGTACAGTATGAAGTTATCGTTTAAAATAATATATGAAACAAGCACTCTTTTATGAAATTCAATTTCCATAAAAAGTATTCCAGATATTAGAAACCCATCCAGCGGTACGCGAAGCAGCAAAAATGGTAATTCCAACGGTTGGTGTCGTGGATTCCAATGCTGACCCTACTTATATTACATATCCAATTCCCGGAAATGATGATTCGACGTCCAGTGTACAGTATTTCATGGATTGTTTCGTTAAAGCCATTAAGATGGGGAAAGAATCACGGCGGTCGTTACTTGTTGACAATTAAAAATTCTGAGTTGGACGTGACATTGCATAGGATTTCTTTCCATCAGAAGCACGTTTAGAGCTAAACATTGTTGCACATCTGACTGCTTTGAAAGTCAAGTCATGCACTTCTATCAGTGTTACCGGTATATTGATGTTAATTACCAGTCTATTAACTAACTTGCTGTTGCTATTTTTGTACTTTTTATGCTTTACTGACAGTATCGGAGATAACATACTGGAGGACTGACAAAATCAGCACAAAGCATATCAGCAGAGGCAACCAAATCACAGTTTGAGGTTCTATGACGTGATGTTTCTACAGTTTTTTTTTTTTTGAAAAAAACTAGACTCACTGGAAAAAAATCACAATAGTTATCAGTTATTTTTCTTCTTTTTCTTGTCCTTTACTGGAGCGGCAGTCTGAAAGTCATCTTATGAGTATGAGATATCGTACCAAAAATCAATATCCATAACCAGCATCAAAGCAGATCAGTTCAATAAAAGATCACAAACTGTCGTGATACAACAAGAAACTTACTGTCCCAAGAACAATCCGTTTTTTCTCATCCTCATCTATCTCGATTGATGGATGTTCTACACCTGTTAAGCGATTTCGCAATAATTTCTGCTTCATGAACTAAAAAAGAATGAGTCTATCAAAGAAATACTGGCTCGTCAACCTAATCCCGAAAATAATCGAAATTACATGATTAAGGGGATTAAAAGAATGACAAGGTTTACTTTAACTTTTCCTAGGAACGGCAGAAATGCTTCTCCCAACTTCGTCTCGAGTCTAAACCTGACTTCAAAAACCGAAGTAATACATCGGTAAAACTCCGAAAATCATAATGCAAATTTTTGGATTACCGGAACTAAAGCTATATTCAAACAAAATTTCCACAATATCCAACAAACGGCGTGACGAAATCTTGTAAGTGAAATTAAAGCAATGAAGAGGATATAAGCTAACAATGGACAACGTAAAACAAAAAAAGTTTCAGCACCTACACAATGGACAGTGCCAAAGACTAGCCATACCTCCATGATAGCCCCGATGGAGCTTACAAAACTCCTCCCTAATAATCCTTATATATATATACATGAAAAAATCCCGAGAGTTTTTACAACCGGATAGATCCTCTTCGCTTATTCTCCACGACTGAACCGCAAACGACGACATCGCATATCCGCACCATTGGATAACAAACTACGATATTCTTCTATTTGTTAAATACATTTCCCTTAACGTATTCCCAACTCAACGACCTATCAACTAACCGACAGTCAAATTATTGTCCAAAGCAACGACAAGGAGTTTGTTAAAAAGCAAGTAATATAAACTCATTTATCACTATTTACCAATTCATCGTGTGACATATATATTTAATACCTTTTTTTTGCTGTTGACTAGTAATACTGTGCAAGAACAATATTACATCCCGAGTAAATCTATATCGCCGAGAAACGAGTTCAGCAGAAAAACAATTTCGCAACAAACCTACTTGTACTGTTTATTGAACCAAGAAGTAGTACAGCAACAGAAATAGTCAACTAGCTGAAAAACCTTAGAGAGAAAAGCAAATTGAATATTCGACCTGTTGAAGCAGTACCCGTCGACAACGCTGCTTGATTGCCAAAGCGAGATCTAGCCAAGTCCAATTTTTTTCATGATATTCACACAACGGGAAAACCAACTGAAATCGATCGACATCTTCAATGTTTTTCTCTTTGTTTCCCTAAAAAAGCAAAAGATAAAATTATAGAATATCAAAATCTGCAAAATAAGGGAAAACATTAGATCAATTACTATAAAAATTTAACTAACTTCTACCAGTGAAACCCAGTACTCCATTTATAAAGGTTTATAAAAGGTTCAGAAACACATTCGCTCATTTTTTTTGCAAAACGCTGAAGTAAATAAATGGGCAGATAAAATTTTCATTAGTAGCACAATACAAAATATTGCCTTGTATGAAACAATGAAAGGCACTTCAGGTATTTTGATATACAGGAAAACATTATTTTCTTGAGCTCGTTCCTTCATGCGATCAATATCATCACGTAAGTGACTGGAATCATTCGTTCGCCGAAATGAACCGTTCATCGCACCGCGTAACCATTGCCCAACTGATACACCCTACGAAGAAATGTAGTAAGTTGTCCACAGATTCATTAACTTTACAAGAAATTAGAACCATATTTTACTAGCTTCTATCATACCAGATCATGTATTAACTATTAATATACCAGACGATGATTTTTGTTTTCCTCATCTTTAAATACAATCTCCCGCCCGTATTCAACGAAAATCAGCTCAATAACCTTCTTGTTAGAGGAATTTTGCTTCTATCCAAGTTATTTATATAAAATGGACTTACAACTGAAAAGTAATACACAGATCAGATCCATTTACATAAAATCATTCTGGATTACGACAATCACGATTGTCAGGACCGAACGACAGTTCAGTGGGTAGAACATCGTTGGTGCAACTTTTTTTTTTTTGAAATCTTTAGCCTATTTTGAGCATTATTTTCACTTTTCAGTTGTAAGTCGACTTAATTCGACTTAAGTGTACGGATTTATAGACACGAAAAAATAGGATAGGAAACACTGTTCTTAGCAAAAAATGTTTAACATAACCAGAAACATAACAGATCCACTAAAAAAAGCTTTCTCGAAAATTAAAAAAAAAAACTACTTGATTGTTTTGCTGCTCTTCATTTGTGTCAAGATTCCGTTGGTCTTCTTTATCGATATTTCTACCAGGAAAAAAGTACTCCATCATTTTCTCGAAGAATCGATAAGTAATTTGAGCGTTCATGGGTGAAACATTAATCTCGAAATGTTCCTTGACGGAAATCCCACCAACTAAAATCATTCCCTTATCGAACGTTTTTGATAACCTAATACAGTGAAAAGGAAGGGAACTAAATAGTTAAACATCATCCGAAATTAAAAGAATGAAAGGAGAACTGAAGAAATGTCATCCAAAATAAACTTCAAACTGCTTCATGTGGAAGGTAATAGAGAAAACCGAGCCGAAGGATTTTAAAGGCCAATTTTTATTTCGCAGCATAAGACGAAGTATACCCGGTGCCTTCTCTCGACAAACAACACGAATTGATGCTGGTTGACGTTCAGTTTTCCTTCGTGGCGTATTTTGAGCTTGCAGGGTATGCTGGAAAAGCAGAGAAAGTTCGATGGGAATTTCTGACATCCCAGCAAAGTTAGTGCGCAATAAATAAAATACGAAATCAATTATTTTCAATTTTCATTTCCGAAAAAAAACTGATATGTTTTCTTAAGATCTTAAAACATTTTTTTTAATACAATGCTTCTTATGAGACTAAAATGTCAGTGCACACAGAATACAACTATTCCTAGTTTTTATCCCCACCATCAACGTAATTCTGCACGAGCAAAACAGCTAGCAAAAGAAGTTAGGAGTTACGAGTTCAGTTTTGTTCACAAAACAATTACCTTGTAAAGGGTATCTGGAAGTAGATTGGTAACTTGCACAGTTCCAATTTCTAACAAATGTTCACCAGAATTATCTATGCGCGCCGTACGTGTATACCTGCAGTTATATTTACAGAACGAACAATATCTTATTAAATGAAAATTGTTGTAAACAAATTCTTACAGAAAATTCCGTATTTGCATTTCTGCAAGCGCAATTTGTCCGTCACTTTCTGTAAGCCTCCAAATACAATCTTCAAAGCAAACTTCAAATCTGAAAAAATACGACTTTCGAAACAATGTTCAAATTTGGAAAAAGCCACTGAGTAATATGTGCAGCTGAAATTTGCAAATTTATTTCGAAATTAAAGCTTATCTACAAACGTTTACTTTGCCCATAACTTACAATTTGAATTACTAAAGTAAAAATACAACCTTCTAGCCACAGCGGCTTGCTCTTCTTCAGCAGCATTAACCAGTTGTCGCATCCTTTCCACTTGTTTTTCCTTATAACAACTGAAATCCAATGAAATGGAACACAATAGCATAGTATTACAAAAATTTTTAGAAGATGGATGAAGATCCTAATTTACATATTTACTGCCTGCGCTTATATTTTATGCCGAATCAGCATAAACTTGTTGCGAAGTTCAGCAGAATTAAATAAACTCCATAAGGCTTACCGTTTCGGCAAGTCTCACAAGTCCCACAGACTCTTACATGGAAATTATACTAATTTGTGCTAAAGGTTGAAACCTACCTAATAGTCATTGCCAATTCATCACATAGAACAATCTGATTTTTTTTCATTTCATCGATTTCTGCTGTTACAGTTTTGTTGGCCTCCAATATCCTAAAAAGTAATGAGTAATGAACGAAATAAATTAGTCTTTTACAAACTAAACTACAAGATAGCTAAAAAACGAGAAACTAAAGTAATGTAACAGCAAATCTGCTTTCAAACATTAATTTCCGTGTTGTTGTCTCCATTACTGCAGGACTTTCCAGAACCATTTGTTTCATACCACACTCATTTATTTCATCTCTCGTCCACATATTACTTTTCTTCAAACATGCAACTATTAAGGATATGGAAAAGGAACTTACGCAGTATCATTGCCAGACTCCTGCAACTGCCTGTTCAGGAAAAATAAACGTCTTTCCAATGAACGGATTACCGCAATAACATCTCGTAGTTCTGCCTATTTGTGAAAAATGATAATGAAGAATGCTTCAATGACACCAAAAAAAAAGAAAAAGAATCAAAGCAAGCCTGATGATTAGAATGATGTCTTCCTTCCTTTCAGTTGAAAAAAAAACTGAGGCAGAAATTCAATAAATAATGAATCGAATAAATTTTGTAAAGCAACTTCGACGTTTTCCTCCATGAAAGACAGACCTGCATGGAAAAAATAGCCGATTTCACTTCATCAACATCTTTAAGCTGCAACTCAAAACGCAGTCGCTGTCGCCGACGATCACTTTCTTTCTTTCGTGGATCCACAAATAAAACCAATTGGTTTATAATGTTCATCACCATCTGGTACTGTTCGGGATTCGTGCTGACCTGAAATTAGGGATAAATTGCACTGCAGTGAGATTGCAGGTCCTCACACTATGAATAATAAATGATGTGGAGATGAAAAAATAAATGAACAAAAACTGATACAGATAGATAAGAATAATTGAAAATCTTGCCTCTAGCATGTTATGTTTCAAGGTAAAGCAATCAACCGGTTCTGGTTGGCCCCAAATCCCGCCTGCTTCATTCGTATCGTTGATCTATGAAAATTGCAGGGTAATAAATTTGTAAAATGGACAAAAAACAACTACACCGTAATATTTCCGTATTGAATTTCTCCAAATTATAGTAACATTAACTTATTTTTCAATATATCCAACATATTTTTCACCGCAATGCAAAGCTCATAATTATCTTACTGTTTAAACACAAAAAATTGCTAAGAGCACATCACCGAAACAATCTCATTTACATACTACTTTATAAAGCATACCGAATAAGGAATGTCATGCATATCAAGATCCAATGTATCTGAAAAATAGCAAAAATACATTTGACAGCTACATCTCGAAACAACTCGTTGTAGCTGTAGTTTTCCCTCAGTTTGTGCCACATTACCATGATCTGAAATAAAGCTTGAATTCATGACGAGATACTAAGTAGCATTCCAAAAATTTCCAGAAAATTTTTCCGTCAAGAGAACTGATTCAATATATTCAACTCCAATCATTTGTTCCAAATTTTTTATTCAGTTTATAGAAATTGTTACACAGATAAAATCGAAAATAGCGAAAATAGCTAAATGAAAAACTGTTTACCAACAACTACACCACCCACAGCTTCTCCAGTGCTGATATAAGGATTCAAGCGATCACTGATATTAGGATCACTACACGTTTTTTCTTCAATGATATCCCGATTTAACCAGTGGAGTCCTTGTGGAATTGATTCCGAAGGAGAACTTGATGGGTTGAGATGCTGAGACATTACCAGAGGTGCGAAATACTAAAAATTTATCAATTTTCAGTTGATTTTTTTTTCTTCGTATAAAGACGACAAAGAGCACGCAATAAAATGTAAAATCGGCCTAAGCCACTACCTAAATTATGGTAAGTCTGTTTATGATGCCTCTGCAAAAAAAAAGTAGGAAAATAATACCTGCATTCCGGAAAGTGTTGCACACCATGACTTCTTACTCAACAACTGTGATTTTTTCCAAACTAATGCATAGATGCGCTGCGTTACAGATGCACGAGCAGCTGTTAGTAGAACAAATCCATCCTTTTCTTTTCCGCGTAAAACGGCTTGGCTATTAATAAGATCAACTGAAATGAGAAACACGTTTAAACTTATTTTTTATATCGAAAAATATGCGACTTACTTTGCCAGTTGATCAGCACTACATCATCAGCTGTACACAGTGCAATTCCTTGTAACATATCCGAAGGAATGTCAGTTGTCTGAAATGCATGCAAACACAAATCATAAATTATACACATGACGTAAGATGAAGTACTCCAAGAGGAATACTATTAAAACTATTAAAAAACTATTAAAACCAACTTTCATCTCTAACAACCGCGTCGGAATCTGCGAAGTCTACCTATATCCAGGGCATCTAGAAGAAAATATAAATATAACCATTACCATCTGTAGTGGGAATATGGAAGGAAACTTTCACAATAAGAATTATGCAGTGAAGAGATCAAATAAGGCTTTCCCCTTCAGCTTTACTTAGGAAAAAAAAGGATATCCATCATATCATTGAACAATAAATATTTCTGTAATAGAACAACAAAAAAGTGGACTTCTTCATCGTAAGCGACAAGTTTCGTACTCGCTTCGTCAATTAATCGCTGCAACATATCATTTTCCTCTGTTACCCGTCTATCAGAACCATATCGTGATCTGTAAATAGCTAACAAACATTTTCCACAGTCATCAAACTAAGTAAAACAAAACAAACCACTGCACGTCTTTCAAGACTTATAGATCTGTAGATAATTCAAGTGTAAAAAACAGTGAAGGTGTAAAATATTATTGATGTTGTTGAGGGCACTCAGTTTTAAGTATCTGTTTACTACTGTTGTTAAGTAAGGTATGTTGGATTACATTTTATGCAATGATATTTAGATTCTACAAACAAGAAGTTTTGTATCAATGCTAATGAAATGTTTCAGCAACATCGACAATACGGTATGCAAACGCCAGCAGTTATCGTGCTACAGTTGGAAAAAAGACCAAGCACTCACTGATTTGTTGCTTTTTCAGAATCAGACTGCAATCTTGAGACGGTTGACTTCGCCATATTCACACCATTTAAAGCAGCTGAAGGTGGCGGCAGAACTCCCGATTTCGTAAACTGTAATAAAAAATATCGTCGTAGCTTCTTAACTCGGAAATCCTTCAAAAAATTCATTGGTTGTTAAACTGCTGCTTTAACATCAAATTAAAAAAAAGAAACAAAACTTAGGACTAACACTTGGTGTCTTCAGGGCATCTGTTCCTAAAATACGTCGTAAAATATGGGCTTTATGAACCCCATCTGCAATGGCTAAGCACGTATCACGATTTTCCGGAGTCCATGAAGCACGCAGATCATGAATTGTAAGCCGGTGCACCGCTTCATCACTTTCCAACAATTTGATCTTCTTGTTACTGGAAGAATTAGTGTCATTCTGAAAACAAAAAACAAAATAAAACCCATGAATCCAGCAAATAACTTCACTACCAGATAATTAAGAAATAAATAATCGAAAAATCCTGAATAAAAATCGAGCTGATTACCAACACAAAATTAACTCGTCGCAATCATTTTGTCAGTACTTTACGGAATAATATGATTAGGTAAACAAAGTACGGTATTTTTGGTATCTTTGAAAAAGAAGTTGTAAGAAAAAACCTTAGATCGCGCCTCTCGTGTGTAAGACAACCGATCCAATCCAATAAAAAACGAATTGTCATCAATTGGAGTAGCAAAGTTTTGTGAATTAGCGCCAAAAAGATGAATCTGTGCATTTAAAAGCTGTGCTGAAACGTATAAAACTGACCATTTAGCAATTCGTCGTCTGCTGACTCCATCCTAAAACTATAAAAAATGATAATGTTATGCCAAACAGTCATTGGCATTTCAACCAAGTTAAAAAAACAAACAGTGCTTTTGTTACGCGAACTTCTTATCAATAAAATGTAGCAGCTATTTAAAAGTATTCGTAAGCAGGTATATAATACTGTATACATATATATATACATATATATATGTATATATATATACTTATATATATACACGTATATACATATACATATATATATATATATATATATATATATATATAT